TATATATATATATATATATATATATATATATATATATATATATATAGATATAGATATATGAACGGTACAGAAAATCTAGACATCTAGAGTAGCTATGATTCACAATTCAAAGCCAACTGTTACTGGTACCTAGTAGTAGTAGGATACTACAGTCTATGAACTTTCAGGTACTCTTGGGGAAATTGTTTATACTCTTTGATCAAGACAGAGACGAGCTTCTCAAACAAGAAGACTGGATTGAGTTCCTCAAAGCCCGACTGACGTAAGTGAATTTTATTTTACTTTTTATTTATCATTCAAATAAAGATTCTATACATTTGAATGCATATATATGTATATTGAATAGATAGGATGGAATAGAGCATAGAGTATTCGGCGGGCTAGGTCAAATCCAGTTATTTTGCTAGTTTATTTTTCTACTATATCTTTTCTGGGTTGCTGTCCATTTTGCCAAGTGTGCAGATCTATCGTCGTCACGTACATTCGCGCGACTGTCACGTCAAAAATCCATCCCCGTCTCTTCATCCGAGTTTCATTTTATTTTATATTTATATTATATTATGTGTATATGTATAGATATATACGATTTTTTTATTTTGTTTTTTGTTATTTTCTCGGTTCACTCGCCAGAAGTGACAAACAAGCGGACTTCATTGATCAAATTGAAAGTGTCGCTTATGTATTGTGCGGTGATGGGCCCATTGATTTGATCGCCTTCAACAAAATATTCCACGCTAAAGGGGTAAATTATTCTCTTTTTTTTTAGCTATTCAATAATAATAATAATTTTTTGTTTTACTGTACTTTTTGCTAATATTTAATATTTGATCATTTTTATATTCAGAATTATTTATTCCGTGAAATTGATGTTTTATTGACAAATATTTTTCTTTGAACAAAACTATTTTCACGAATAATTTTTATTATTAAATCTTGACACAAAAAATATAATATTGGTTCAATATATAAATGAGATTAATAGTATTTATTAAAATGAGTAATAATAAATAATTTACGATTGATAGCTATTTAATTAAATGTTGTTAAAGTTTGCCTCTCAGCTCTGACATACCTTTACTTTAAAATTTAAATCTCGCTTTGGTTTTTTTTTTTTAAAGGAATTTTGTTATACTTACAGAATCTCTTATAAATAATTTATTTTTCCGCTACATGAGCCTTTGTCGTGTAATATTTTTCAATGTGTATAATGATAATAATATTTTGCAAATAAATGTGGAAAAAATTAGATTCTTTTGAAAATGAGAACCTTTTTATTCAGGATATTCTTCGTTTTGCTTCATTCTCCGTGTATATAAAAAAATACATAATAATGAGTATGAATTATGCTTACCAAAGCATTGGACCGGGTTCGAGTCCGGCGTACACCAATTAATATTTTCAATATTTAAGTGTATTATACTGCTCAGCCCAAGAAATAAAACGAGTTCCAATCTCAAAAGTTTACCCCCTACCGTAGTCGCTCATGACCTTAGTAGTTTATGCAACTTTAAACAAATTAAGAAAAAAAAGAATACTTCAGAAATTTTTTAAATCAAGTGTTTGAAGATTGTTTCCGTTATAAAATCTTTAAAAATTTTATTATTGTTGTATTTATAGTGTGTTGCTTTACTTAAACGATAAGTTAATTTTTTTTTAATGTTATTTATATATTTTACTCTATATATTGACTCTTTTATTGACTCTGAAAGTAAATACCTGCTCAACAATAATATTATTATTATTAATAATTTTTATGATTATTACTTACTATTCTGTAAAAATATGCTACAAAGAAATGTAGCGAAAACTCAAACAACAAATACTTATTATACTGTGTGTAAAGAATAGCCTTGATGAAATAAATAATCGTAAAATATCGAAATTGAAGGTAGAATAAATATGAAAATAAAAAAAAAAAGTAATGAGATAACAAAGAACTAATCCTTTTTTAAAATAAAATAGTTAATAATTATAAAAACAATATTATAGGAGCAAATTTCAATAGATATTGCGATGATGTTAAAAAACAAGAAATATTATTATTTTTATTTTTATTAATTTATTTTTTATTTTTTTTCTTAACAAGATTCAGAAATATTAATGACAAACTAAAAACTACATGGAATAGTTGTATTTATTGGGTACGGCGAAAATATTGGTCGTATAAAAAATTTTTTAAATGAAAATTGTTCAAAATTTAATTTTACTTTAATTTTTTCTTAATACCAATAAAAATGCTGCAATTTCAAAATTAAGATTTTCATAAATAGCAAAAATTTGAATCATTTATTATGAATCTTAATTGAGAAATTACAGTGAAAATATTGGTCGTTTAAAAATTCTAAGAGACATTTCTTGTAAAATAATAAATTTTCTACAACTTCTTTAATATAAAAACTTTTTTTACAAGACTAATATTTTTGGCAAAAATATTGGACCTAATAATCAAGCGAAATTCCAATAATGTACGTAAATATAAATTTAATTTAGTATAAGTTCGTCTATTTAATTTCCTCTCTTAACTGTATAACAGTACAGTATTTCTTATTCTGATCGATAACTTATTACTTATTACACCCATACTATTTACCTACAGCATACATAAAATATGTAGATATAATATTATATGCATATTGAAATACATATATACATCATTACATAATAGACTATTCAAGAGTAGTTAACACATGTGTTTTTGATGTATATTGATCTACACGTAAAATTACATAGATTGCCTAATTCTGCAATATTCGTAACACCTATATTTATTATTACTCTACTTCATAAATATCATGCTGCACTATTCGAAATTAATCAAGAAAAAAAATTATTTATACATGATTACAACTGATTAGAAGTGTCATGTGACTAGACTGATTTTTTTTTATTTTATAAATAATGAGTATACATCAAAAATTAATTTCAATTTTCACTTCAGGTAGTGAACAATAAATTAAGCATGAACTTTTAAATATTATATAATAATATACCGATTATTCTGTATAATACGTTTAATTTTTTATAATCTGTAACAGGCCGCTTTTAGCGCCACCTGTTAAGACGTTTTTTTTTTTTTGTTGTTGATAATTTTAATTTTTTTTTGAATTTAAAAATTTTTTTAAAAAAAAATCTAAATTGAGCGCTAGAGATAATTGTTGTCCATTGGTTGGATTCGCCGCGACCGAGTCGCCCTAGCGCGAGAAAATGCGACCGAAGCTCGATTGCGCGCGAAACAAAAATTTATTGGCATTACGAATTTAATTTAGCAAATAAGTTAGTTTTAAGTAATTGTAATTGTAAGAATGGTACTTATGACCGGTCACGAACCCGCGAAGAGAGACCAACGAGGATTACCGACGTGGATTCTCTACAAGATCATCGACGACGGGCGGATGGCTGTCTCGAGAACGAGCTGGAACGACGGACATATGGAAACTCGAAGTGAGCAATCGACGCATGCGTGAAGGCGGAAAACTGGCGGTCGAGCGCGCCAATGCTCCAGCCAATGCATCACTCAAAACGTCGATATTGGGAAATTAGACTTGCGGCGCCATCTCTGGAGTTCAAAGCTAACGACGGACCCAGAAAAGAGGGGAAAGACGAGGAATGCGACATGTGCTTAATTTTTCCTTCTTCCACGTTTTCGACTTGCCGCGTGCGGACACGTTTTTCTATTCTGAAGAATTTGTTGGTTATTTTTTTTATTACTGCCTGATTTTGAGATTTATCACAAAGAATACTTTTGTAATTTCTTGCGTCTGAAATTTGAGTATTTCGTTTAATTAGCCACGACGTAGTGTGCTATATGTTGATTATTGTGTTTAATTGCGATTGTGTTTGCCAAAAATTTATTACGGCATTACGACGATAATTGGCTGTCGCCAATTATTTATTTAATAGAAGCGTGATCTATTACGACGTTTTATTTGGATGATCGCTAGTTGACGTGTGCAAGTGACGAAAAATCAACACGTATCCTCGCCGAGGAAGGTCATTGTCCGAGATCGTTCGACGTGGAAGCCGAGTACGACCGGGTGTGGCCAATCGACGGACAACGTAGATTTACGTCTTAGACCAGGGTGAGTGCCACGGTTTTTCTTAGATAAATAGCTCGTGGAATTTATTTTTTTTAAAGAAATTTTTTTTGTTTTTTTATCAATTATTCGTAATTAAACTCTTGCTGCTTGGTGTGACACATCGCCAAGGAATGTCAAGGTTGCATTAAGTCA